AAGTGAAGTAAGGAACTGCTTATGAGGCTTTCCGTCAATTCCAACAACTAAGAAATAGTGAGAAGAGTTGGGACCTCAGAAGGCTTTTAGGACCAAATAGTAGGCTCTTGTGTCCAGGAGAAAACGAATATACTTACCAGTAATGTTAATGCTCACCCACAGCTCTTCTGGGAGGATCTGTGTTGTTAGTATTTTTATCAACATGTTACTAAAAGTCCTAGCTAGACCAGCCAAAGAAAGGAAGGGAGAAAGTACTAAAGGGGAAGAAGGGAATTTTTTTTCAGGTATGAGTGTTAAAAAACCTTTAAAGTAATCTAAGAAAAAAGTAGTAAGATTGATAGATAATTAATATTTTTAAAAATCAGTTATTTTCCTATACACCAGCTGTGGTGTGACCCTAAAAATTGGCGTTTAGCCATTAAGTTATACCCCTCTTGTATCCAGCTACCTTAACTATAGACACATGTTCTTGTAAATCAGCATGATCTTGCAAATCATCAACAGCTGTTGGATTAGGATCAGAGAAAGAATGATTCCCACACTGGGTGGCAAGACTTGAGGGAGACTGGAGCGAGACCCTGGTGGTGAAGAGACCGTGAGATTTCTGTGAAGAAACTCTGGCAAGGTATAAGCAGATGAGCCCCGAGATAAAAGGCACAGTTAAAGGTTTTTGCTGTTCTTGTTGACGTTTGAAGGAGAAGCTGGTTTATAACTGCTTTGAGTCAAGCCTTGCTGGATGACTTAAGTGTGACTGCTGAACTGAAACCAGATCCTAGACTAATTGAGGTATTGTGCCTTGGAACTTGGGCTAAAACGTGGACTTCTTTTGGGTGATATTTTTTGCCTCCCCCACTCTTCAGCTTGCTTCCCTAATAAACCCCATTGTCAGTACCACAGCTGTGATTCTGTGAGTCAACAATGAATAAACAAACCTCTTGCCATTAATGTGTCTTTAAAGACACACTGAGCACCACTACAGGTTCTTTACCTGTGTTCTGTTCTGGGGCAGTGAGGGACTGTGCTATTCTTACTCCCTCTGGCCCTTTCAGAGAGACATTCACAGCCCTTTGCCTCCATGATCCATTTTCTCCTCTTTAGACACCAGCCATATTTAAAAGGATATTTTAAAAAAATATATCATTTAAGAATTATTGTTGATTGCCTTCAAGTTGAGCATGACTCATAGTGACATCTAGTAAAAGAAAAGTGTGACCCATTTGGAAAAATGATAAAACTTCATTGAGAGGAGTACAGAGGACTATACCATCTTTTTCTTTAAAAAGACATCATTCTGGCAAAGGTGAAGGGTCAGAGAAAGGAAAGCACTCAGCGAGATGGATTGATCCAGTGATTGTAACAATAGATTTGAACCAGTTGGAGATGATGAGGACAGCACAGGATACAGCAGGGTTCAGGTCTTGTAATTCAGAGAGTTGCTGTGAACTGTAGTTGATTTGACCATACATACTTAACAAAGATAGCATCATCTTTGTGTAGTGGAAAATTTTATGTTAAAAAAAATGTCAGAGTTGTCCAAACTTTCAATTTAATGCAATTTCAAGAGCTCTCTCTGTGTGTGTGTGTGTGTGAGAGAGAGAGAGAGAGAGAGGGAGAGAGACTGACTGACTGACTGACTATAAGTGAACCCTAATAGATAAAGATTTCTTAAATAAACTTTGTGCTATAAAGGTCTGAAATAAGAGGGCGGGAAAACATAGGAAAATTAACTTCAGCTGTATCAGACGGATGTGGTAGGATTTGTGCTACTCCTTTCCCAGTATATTTTTATACATACTGGTAAAGAAACAATGGCATTTTTATTGTATATTATTTTATTTTCTCACACTAAGCATTCTTGTGTTTTCTATATAAGTAGCTTTTCTCATTTAAAAAAAATAGGTTTAGGAGTTCTTTCTTGTGCATACTTTTTAAACTGCTACAAAATATTCCAAAGTATATATGTACCATGTCCTATATAACCATTCCTTCCTTTTTTTTTTAATCTTTAGGTACCTAACTTTTATTTTCTTTCTGTGAAGTGTATGCTTATGTTTGCTTACTTATATTTTTAAATCATTATTTCTCTTGATTAAATTTCCGGAAAAAATTGGCTCAGAGATGTGGAGATTTAAAATTCTTTTAGACACGTCAAAGGTGCTCTCCAAAGGTGATTAGTACCTTTTTATAGGAGAAAGATATGTTGTTTGCTTCTGTAAAAATCATGGCCTTGAAAACCTTCTGGGCCACTTCTCTGTCCCATAGAATCTGTGTGAGTCAGAAGCAGCTTGATGGTACACAGCATAATGTATGAGTGTACCATTTCCTAGTACTGATGCCAACAGAATATAGTATCAGTCTTTTAATTATATTAACATGGACAAAAAGTTACTTATTGTTTGTGTAACTATAAGTAAATGAGTATCAATAACACTGAAATACAAGAAAACTAAAGAGAAATGTGTCTTCTGCTTTCAGGTCAGTGCTGACAGTTGCCTGTGAACAAACTGAAGTTCTCCTTTTTGACCCTATATCTTCAAAGCACATAAAAACACTTTCTGAAGCTCATGATGACTGTGTAAATAATATCAGGTTAGTATTATAGTGAAAAAGTGAATTTTATTAGTATGGCCCCAGATACTCCACTTTGAGAGTGAAAATTTGTAATGTTTTATCTTCCAGTGCTCGTTGATATATACAGTTGTGAGTTTTATCACTTGGGAAACTTGCCTTTTAATTACAAAGCTCACTGTTAAACATTTTGAACTGCTGTATTTTCTAAATGCTTTATTCATTTCTATGTGATTTTACTTTTTCTCTTTGAAAGTCTGGATCATCATTATGAACCTCAACAGCTTACTATACTCGTCCTGTCACATGTTTGAACTAATGATAGGTGGAGAATTTGACAGTCTCACTGCTTAGCATCTCACAATTCTCCCCCTACATCTAGACTATTGATGGAAAGATATGCATATATGGAGAAGTTCTTTATAGAATTGCTGAAAACTCTAAATTCTCAGTACTGTGTGAAGTAAATAATGATTGAATAGTAGATAAGCAGTCATTAAAATGTTGGTCCCAGAGATTAAATGTCATCACAGACAGATGCTTGGAATAATATAAATAAAATTGTGATAAAAATGTATACTAAATTAAGCAGTAGAAAAAGATTAGAAGAAACATATAAAATACTAAGAGTAGTTGAGTTAGAATGAATTACGAGTAACTGTACTTTCTAAATTTTTTGTAATATGATTGTTGTTTTTATTATTTTTATGCCATCAAATCAGAACTGACTCATAACTGACCCTCCAGTGGGTTTTCAGAGGCTGTAAATTGCATGGAAGGAGATTGCCTATCTTTCCCCCACAGAGCAGCTGGTGGATTCAAACTACTTGTTTTTTTGTGTTGGCAGCAGAACTCCTTACCCACTAGGCCACCAGAGCTCCCTGTGTAATATGGTTATACAACTTTTACAGTTAATGCTTTTAATGTTTAAAAAAAGTGGAAATTACTTTTAATGAGAATAACATACTAAATGTCCAAATACATACTGTGTTCCAGATACATAAAATAATACATAACACAAAAGATGTAAGCTGCCTGTGAAACAGTATAATCATTGTTGTAGATGAAAAATGGAACATAGATACAAGGTGAAAAACGGGGCTGAAAGCACATACCTACTGAGTTTTCAGCCTGGAAGCAGGCATTGGAATTAGGTAATTTATCTCTTGTCAGGTAAAGTGCTAATGTGTTTCATATGAGGCAGGAACCAGAGCCACCATCACTGGTTGAAGCCAGGGGCTTGGTTCTTGTTTGAAATGTCTGTCCTAGATGTGAAAAGATGAAGAAAAGAAAAGCAATTTACTACCTAGGCTATAGGTTTTAGCAGATAAATACGTAGCCTCATGACCAGAAGTGAGTAAAGTTACTTAGTGACTGAATTAAAATATCTCCAGTATCATCATGAAACTGGAGCTTTGAAATGTCATTATAAGGCCTTGTCATGAAGTGGGAGGCCCAGAAAGCTAAGCAAAAGCAACTACAAAACCATTCAATAGAAAGAGAGAAAAACAAAACTTTAAAAATTATTCCTATTCAAAATGAGGCTGTAATAAAAATTTCAAAACTCGTGAAGAAATCTAAAATCATAACAAAATCAACAACCGGAACAAGCCCTTTCTCTGGATGAAATGAATTTTATGGAGTCCAACATAGACTTTATTTTTTAAAATAAATCATTGTATTTATTTTTTCTTGACTAGGTAATACATGCACGTGGTACAAAATTCAAAAGGTACAAAAGGGTAAACAGTGAAAAGTAAGTCTTTCTCCCACCTCTGTCTCCTAGCCACCCAGTTCCCCTCCCCAAAGACAACCACTGTTACCAATTTCTTGCTATCCTTTCTGAGATAGTTTATGCATGAACAAGTGTGGAAGTACACATACACAACTTTATGTAAATTGTAGCATCCTTCACATGCTATTGTATAGCTTGCTGTTTTCCCATAATATATTAGAGATTGTTAATATGAAATTATCTTAATTCTTTTTAATGGCTACATAGTATTACATTGATTGGAAATTTTTTTTATTGGAAAATTCTTTTAAGCATTTTTTAGATGTGACTAAAGAAATAAAAGATAACTTTCTTTTGAAGAGAGCTCAAAATTGTGGAACAAAAGAGATGAAACAAGGACAGATCAGTGTGGAAAGAAGAATTTTTGGATATTAAAAATGTATTTTATAGATATATGGGATAACTTGATCCTTAATATATTGAAGAGAGAATTAGTAGGTTGGAAGATAATACTAAAACATTTACCCCTGGGGAGAAGAGAGAATTATTGCATAGGAAACACTGAGGTTTTGTTTATGGGAATGGAAGATTTAGCAGAAGATACTGATACAGTTAATTTCAGTGAGTTGTATATGTAAAAAATGTTAAATTGGTAAAAACTGTGTTAGCTATAATTTTACAAGAACAAAAATTCACCTAGGATGCTGAGAAAGTATAAAAATATGACAGACAAGTTAAAAGGCATAGAGGATTATTAGGTACAATAGCCAAAAATTTTTAGCAACACTACTTATGTTCCCAAAGTGACTGATACTTAAAATGCTTGGGTTGTTTTTTTTCCACTCTTTTAAAAAAAAAGGATTAGGGAGCCACAGGAAAGTTTCCCCTGCAAAATATTAACAGTGAACAGTTTTGTGGTGTAATGAACAAGTTGGCTACCACCTTGATGTAAAAATTTGTGAGGCAGTTTCATCATGTGGACTGTCAAATGTATTTTTAGAACTATCTAGTTTGTACTTTTCTTTTTTAGTTTGTACTTTTAAGACTTGTACTACCAAAGCAGAGTTTAAATATTTATTTTAAAATCTAAAAAATAAATAAAATAAAGACTTGAGCCCACAATTTAAAAGTGAATTCTAGAGTGTCAGTCAAGTTAAATAAAGATAAATTCATAAATTCACATGTAGACAGATTGTAGTGAAATGCTAGAATACTTAAAGAGAAAATATTGAAAACTGCACCCCAGAAGTTAATTCTCCTGTAATTAGTATATATGTTCAGTGCCGTTTTAATTAAAATACCAAGAGGGTTTGGATTTTTAAAATGTATGTAAAACTTGAAAAGCTGACTTAAAAATTCATGTTGGATAGCAGTGTACCAAAAATAGCTGGAGAAGCTTTAGATAGAGGGAGTACTTACTCATGTAGGTATTAATTGTAGTCTTGGGACAGGGATAGATTTAAGTAGCAAATGGAATCAAGCACCTTGTAAACAGATATGAAAATGTAATGTTTGGTAGCAGCAACATTACCAATCAGTGATGGTGGTGGTCAAGAAATGGATTATTCAATAAATATAAAAGAAAATTGGTTATATATGTGGGGAAAGAAAGTAAGATGTTTACCTCAAATATAATTTCAAAGTAGATTAGAGATCTCATCATGATAGCAAATTTTTATCATATCTAATCCTTTAGAAGAAAATATACAATATGTTTGTGCTCTAAGTATAAGAAGAGCTTTCTTTTAAGACACAGAACACAAACAATTAAGCTCTCTTCATCTGAAACAAGAAAAATGAAGAAAACCAAAGACCAAGAAACAATTCCTCTTAAGGACAAATGAACGATGCAAATCTCAGCCTCCATGACACTCAGAGCAGAACTCAGAACCAGCTACTGTGGCTGACTGCTCTGAAAATGAGCATGGTTCGAGATCCTTGATCATCAAGGGTCTTTGATTCTTGATCCAAAGGACTTTCAAGCAGAATCTTTTGACTCATAATAGGGAGAAAACGGTGGAACAAAACTTAAAATGATAAGACCATGTTTACTAGTCTGCCGATGGCAGAACCCTCAAGACATTAGATTGCCTTCATTCAGATCTTGAATTAACTCACTGCCATGGCTCAGTCTTCAACCACATAGTAGGCCTGTAAGGTGAACATAGAGGTTTTTTAATAGCAGTCTGGAAACTAAAGTGTGCCTGATCCAGTCCATGGTCTTCGCAGTTAAGTGCTATGCATTAGAAAGCCGGACAATGACTAGGGATGTCAGAATTGATGTCTTTGAGTTGTGGTGCTGGAGAAGAGTGTTGACTATACTGTGGACTGCTAAGAGAACAGATTCATCCTGGAGAGTGTGAAACCAGGCTGCTCCCTGGAGGCAAGGATTCTGAAGCTATGTCTGACATATTTTGGGCATGTTGCAAAAAGGGACCAGTCCTTGGAGAGGGAAATTAAGCTTCGGAGGGTGGAGGGACAGTGCAGGAAGGGAAGACCCTAAATGAAATGGATTGACTCAGTGACTGGGGTAATAGTGTGGGTGTGTCAGAGAAAATAAGGTTGGCTAAGGATAGAGCAGAGTTCAGAGCTTTTGTACATAGGGTCACTATGAGTTGCAGGCAACTTGATGGCACATAACAACAAAAGGTGCACAGTAACAAGGAGGAATACATTTCTTAGAACAATCAAACATTCAAGATCAAAGGACAGATTTTACCAAGCTCAGAAAACAAAAGAGTAAGAAAGAAGGATGAGTGGAAATGGTAAACCCAGGGTAACAGTGAGAAGAGTTCTGTGATGTTGTGGGGATTGCAATAAATAAAATGTGTAAGAATTATTGAATGGAAATCCAATTTGCTCTGTAAATTTTCCCCCGGATCACAATAAAAACCTGAAAACAAAACCAAAAACAATCCCATAAGCCATTAAGGATTGTTAAGTTCAATTGCATTAAAGTTTAAAATTTCATCACTACCATTTTATCAGATGTTCAAAAATGAACTGTCACCAGTATTAAATAAGGTATTTCAGAAAATAGAAAAAGAAGGAATTCTCCCAGACTCCTTCTATGAAGCAAACATATCCTTCATACCAAAGTCAGATAAAGACACCATCAAACCTGGAAACTATAGACCACCAGTATCTTTTTTTTTCTTAAAGACCAGTATCTCTTATAAACATATGTACAAAAGTCTGCAATAAAATCTTGGCCAGTAGAATCCAACAGTACATCAAAAAAGTAATTTTCTACAAACAAGTAGGATTCATAACAGGTATGAAAGGA